ATATTATAAATAAATATATTTAATATATAAACGTAACATATTTTTCTGAAATATATACATGCATGTGTGTGTATTTGTATATAAATATACACAGTACACACACATATATTATATTACAAGAATAAGAATAAAGAAATGTATATTTCTTAATAATATTAAAGATATTTATTTTTAATACATTTTAATCATTTTCATAAAGAAATATGTATGTAGTGTATGTCATGCTATTTTTATTTGTATAAAAAAGAGCCAAATTGACATTTTCATAACAATTTGTGTTTTTCAGTTTCACCAGGAATTACCAAATTTATGCATATAAATAGGTGATTTCTGGCCGCTGAGCTTTAGCCAAACATTTTTTAACTACGATATTCATTCAACTTCATTATCAGAGAAATAAATATATGTGCATGACCATTCAAGATGTTTGCAATAACACAGATGTCACATGAGATAAGTACATTGTGCTGCAGCTCCTTATCAGCATAGAGAGAACCCTGGGTGAGAACACACTTGTATTAATGTAGTGGGTCGGAATGTCTCTAAAGTGATGTTTTTCCACCTACACACATTCACACCTTCTTCAGAACAGCAATCTCTCCCCCCATGGCCATGTTGCTTAGCCATGCCTGAGCAAATTTATTGGTGTGAGTGGGTGTTTTTCTGGATTACCCTGATTGATGAAGAGAAAGAGAGAGAGAGTAGAATCGAGAGAACACCCAGGAAAAGGTCCAAGACTTCTTTGTACGTTTTTGAACATTGGTACGCAAGTGATCAAAAATAGCTCACTATGTAAGGAGCATCTGACTCATTTTGTGTGCAGTAAAATCTCTTCACACCTCCATGCTGTATCAGATGGCCAACCTGATGCTGCACGCATATCCATATCATCTTACGAAACACAGTTTACAGTGAAGATGTTACTTTTTTCTGCTTACTCTATGTTATCTACCCATGTTTGCATCCTGCCTTGTTGTTGAGGCAGTGCTGTATGGTGTGAGTGAGTGTTGGTCATAGCACTGGCGCGATTCATCATGGTGTGGACTGTGGGCTCTGGGGACTGAATGGCATGAAAGCAACACACAGGGGACTAATAGAGCTGTACCTCTGCAAACATTTCTATCTGAAATCTCACAACAAGCACATGTCTTGGAGCGGTTTGTACAGTTGATTTGTTTTATTTTGACACAATAGCTTGGTTTCAAACTCAAGAGAACTTCCTATCCGAGTCTTTGTAAGCTTGCGATGCAAAAGCTGTTCTAAAATTTTGGGATGCACAATATATTGGTACCATACTGATTATTGTCCAATACTGTATATAGATATTTTTTCTTTTTATCAGATATTGTATATTTAATTGTACATTCTCATTTCACCTGTTTTAACATTTACATTATCTTTGCCATCTTCTAACACTCACTTAAAGTTCATTAAAAATATATAATATATATATATAAATATTTATATATAAATATCAGTCTAATAACAAATGGACAGATATATATATATATATATATATATATATATATATATATATATATACACT